CAGAACGATTTCCCAGTTTTTTTTTCGATCCTGAACGATGAATGTATTGATTTTACAATGAAGAATATTAACTGTCTATCATCAAATTCTCAATAAATTTTGATTCTTTTTTAGCTGTATGTAAATATTTAGACATTTGACTTTTTTTCTAGAATAGTCGTTTAAAACATCTTTCCTTGATCAATATAATTTGTAAATTTAATGGAAGATTTCTCGTAAGCTGTTCATATTCCAATAAATAAAAAAATTGCCTGATTTACTATAAAATTTAACTAAAAAATAACATAGTATGCATTTAACCATTTATATCCAATGAAAAATCACAAATACAAAATTAACATTAGAAAATTAGTATTTTTCWGTTATATTAGCATTATAGCATACGTACCTAATTGACATTCCGTCTTTTTACATTTAACTAAGTATTTTGATGGCTAAGAATATACCRTACCAACAACCTACTTCATAATACTTTATGATTGAAAACGTAGAAGAACTTTACAATGTAATTTTTTTTTTAAATGTCAATTTTATATTGTCATTTAATAGCTTTCCAATCTAATACCAGCAGCTGCATCCTTTATCGCTGTTTATGTGTATGACTATTGCTAWATACTGTAGTATATTAACAGTCATACAGAATTAAATTCTATATATTATTTAATATTTTCTATTTTGTTTTTGTGGTATCGGTATGTCTAAATAGAAAATARTAAAATACTAATATGCCATCTGGGATTATTGTTTTTGGTGCCAACATTTAGTGATAGGCCATGTTGGCACTGGAAGCGCTAGTATCCAATGAGTAAAAACATTTATTTGATAAGAAACTTTTCGGCCGTAATGTACCATGGGATTCATAAACTAAGTCACTATGATATTTTAGTTCATGGTGGGATTGTATGAATCGTCGCTCAACCATTCTATCTTAAACCATGCTCTCGTGAGCTCTCGTAGTCTCGTCCATGCAGAGTGTCGCTTCTAACTTCTATACTGTTCCATGCTAGTAGTACTGTAGTAGTGGTAAATTACGGTCCCGGCAGTACGGTAATTATTATTGTACACTTTTTTGTGAATTGTTCAGTCCCCGCGCATGCGCAATATGATAAATAATTGTCCGGGACTGATAAGATTGTTATCAACAATCACGATTTTTCCGGGACTCTATCCACAGCCTACTATATAGTTTACTACATTACTACTTTACTATAAAAAAATAAATAAAATAGTTAGTACACACTAYACAGCAATAATTGATTCTTATGTCTACAACTACAACCTATTTGCTTATTCATTTTTTCATGGTGTTTTTGTCATCTACCACACATCAACACCCTTAATACTTTTAAACTCAGATTTAAACTTGTCTATGCTAATAACGTTCAATTAGTAAATTGGTTATGCGTATAATTAATTAACACAACAATAAAGCTAAAATGTCTGCTAAGGTAAGATATACTTAACTTTTATTTCTGTTACAATGTAAGTAGTAAGTACAGATATGATTGTTGTTTTTAGATATTATACCTATTAAAATCTATACTGGTTAAATTGATTACAATTCGACATAATATTTCGTAKTGAATATCTAATTTTTTCCTATATTTAATAATCTTAGATACCTATCTTTATTTTTATTTTTTAATTATATAGCTGGAATTTGCTGTTAAAATGGCATCTCCATCATCTGCTGATAAAATAATAGATCAACTAAGCAATAATGGAATTTCAAAATCTGACATCCATATATCTTATGGAACTGGAATTGTTACTGTCACTACAGATCAACCGTCTTCCCTCATTTTAAATTCTATTGAAAAAACCGGTATGAAAGCAGTTCTTAAAGGATATGGAAGTTCTACATGTAAGGAATCATCTTGTTCAGTCTTTATTCTATGTTTCTACAGCTAATACAACTTTATACATTTTTATTAAAGTTGAAAAGAACTTAGGCGCTGCTGTTGCTATGCTTGGTGGATCAACTGGTTATAGTAAATTAGGTATAAATGGTATTGTTCGATTTGTTCAGATAAATAATAATGAATGCATAGTGGATGGTACTATTGATGGATTATCTCCAGGAAAACATGGTTTTCATATATATGAATGTGGAGATTTATCTAATGGATGTGATAGGTTTGAAAAAAMTAAAAAAATAAATTATGATTCTTTTAAATTAATTAATTAATTTATAGGATTGGAGATCATCTTAATTTGAAACAAACATCACACGGCAGTCGAACTRATGACTCAAATTTTAGGGTATGATAAAAATAAATGAATATTTTTTTGTGATTTACTATGTGTTATTATAAAGCATCAGCTTTACTCGCTTTAGGGACTATCAATATAGGTATAACTGATTTTTAATGAATTTCCTGTACAAGAACTCTTGCTATAGTTGGTTGGTACTGTTTATCATTTATCATTATTTGTATTCAGTTTGCTCATTAACATTTAATTCATTTTACAGCACACAGGTGATTTAGGAAATATCACTGCTAATGAAGATGGAAGGGCAATATTTTACTTTAAAGATAAATTAATAAATGTATCACATTTAATTGGTCGATCAGTTGGTATTACAGAAAATGAAGACGATGGTGGTAAAACTAAAATCAATACATCAGCTATTGATGGAAATAGTGGGAAGAGGTAAATTAATAATATTTATTTATAATTATTTTAAAAAAATAAATAAATATTACTTGAAAATTTGTTTTTGAGATACCTTAKTACTTGTTTTGGATAGGTTATGACTTTTGGTATGGCGTGGGTTCTTGTATACGAGCACTGAGTAATGTTGTGTTGACCTTGATTTTTAAGGACAGTTGCTTTAGTTGCTAGTTATTTTAAAGTGAGGGAGGTTAATACTAGTGTTAGTGAGACATTGTAGTATAAGACTAACTTCATCTGGATATGATATTTATGTTGTATTTTGATTGGTGCATTATGTGTGTCGCAGTAGCGGCTCGAAGGGAGTATATTTGAATCATGTGATTCACAAAAATATTAATGGATGGGTGGGTGGGTCTTATTGTTGGAAAAGGTAGACTGGAACATTTTTGCATGTTGGTAATTTAAATATTAAATTATAAATAAAYATAATATATAGCCGTAAATGTGTACTCAGCTGATAATGTACAGTAATAACTATATTTTAGGGTGGGTGATGTAAAAATATTAAACGTGATTTGAGGGAAAAAATGTTCAAGCCGCCACTGTGTGTGTGCATTAATAAATAACATCTATCAATAAGGCACAGATAATAGTTAAATCACCAAATCTATAACAGGYGTATCGCGTATACTCAAATACTTGATCAACCTAAAGATACAGTGTATACAGAATTTATATTAATCAAATAGGTTTTAAGAATTGATAGTTATTTTGATAACAGTTATTTAAAAGAAAATTTTCAAACAAAATTTATAAAACAGGAATTAACCTAAATAGATTTTTCATAATCATTGCATGAAACAAACTTGTTTTTAGCTGGCTTTTATGTAAAAAACAAATATAGAAATGCTAGATGTCCGCCATTTTTAGCACTAGTAATCATTTCCTATTTCAACAAATCAACTAATATTTTGTTGTATTTTTACAGAATTGCTTGTGGTATCATCGCTAGATCTTCTGGTTTATTTGAAAATAACAAAAAAATATGTGCTTGTGATGGTGTAACACTTTGGGAAGAAAGAGATGTACCGTTGGCTGGTCCCGGTAGACAAAGAAAAATATAATGATGGAATAGTCATAGGGTTACTCATTAAAAAAATATATATTACGATTAAAATTATACAGGTGTCCAAGATATTAAACCAAACAATTGTTATTTTAGTATTAAGAAAAAGTGCAATGGTTTTAAAATAAATAAAATATTCTTTTAATAAATATTTTAGTAGATTCTGTTTTTAATTATCACTACAACAGCAAAATATTTTTCTACCATTTGTTTTTGTGCTATTTAGATTATATTAATGATTTATAGATATGTTAAGTAAGTAAATAAAGTATATAAAAAAAAACATTCCAGAAATATACAACTACATTATGATGATTATGTTGCATTTTTACACAAATATAATGTTAAATATAACAWTAGAATGAGTGACAATGATATTTTAACTCATATCTTTAAATAATAATAAATAATTTAAAAAAAACTTAGGATACAAATGACAAAAAGATTTTTTTTACAATTTATAACTCAAATTCTAGTAAACTAAGTTTTTTTACAATAACACATTTTAAAATAAAATAAATATGTATTAAAAATGTAACATTATATTGAACAGATTATAACATTATATGTTTAATCTGAAGTAGAACTGAGACAAGCTTTACCAGAGGAAGGGGTAGACGAATCAAAGGCCATTGTTTGCATAGCCTCGGTAACAAGTTGTTGCAAATTTTTTGGTAAAGTATTCATTTCATTAGGATACTTATCAAAATCAACATCTAAAAAAGATAATATTAACAAACAATAGTTTAATATACAAGTGTTTAGAGGAATTTCTTTATGAAGTGCAAAAATCGGATTTTMTATAGCATTATTAGCATTCAAACTTCATTAGACTGTAAAAAAAAATTATAATCAAGAAGTTAATTAACTAAAAACTTCAAATGACTTAGGTAAAATAAAACTGTTGTTTTGTTCTTGACTMATCTTAAAATCGCTTTTTTTCTGTGTATGTGTGTGTTATGACAGGTTATAACAAATAGTTGTATAATATAATAAATTAATATTTTTTTTTCAAGAGCTTTACAAACTTTTATAATTTAAACCATAGTCTACAATAAATAATTCTGATAAACTACAGTAAATAGTGATTGATTAGTGAGTTACTGATTTGTTTAACATTAAATGAGTTATCAGGTGGTTAGGTTTTTTGCTGCATGTGCTTTCAAAATACCTCAGTGAGTCAATGCATTTATTCTATAAACATAATTGTATAAACAATTCTTACTTTTAATGATAGAATCATCTTCTTTAGAAATTACACAAGCGTTTGATTCTGAAATATAATAGAAAAAATAAATTATTACTACTTGTTAATCATACTTGTATATTATCATCATTCATCACATAATGCCATAGTTCATCCATTAAAAAATATTTAAAACACGATGTAACACTATATATTATATTATCTATGATTATAATTAAGTGTTATTGTGTGAACATGGCGATAGTAATAATCAAACTATTGTAAAAGCAACTGTTTTATTATCATGCTCACGAGTGCAAAATTGAACAATTAGGTAGATTCGGCTCAAGACTTGCTAAAAATTTATTTTTTCTATATTATTTCATATTTTTAATAAGTAACTTAAAACTTTCTAATCAAATTTAGTTTTATAGAATTATGCATGGTTTTGGTCTTACTAACCATCAATAGAACTTGTTTCAAAATCCGTATCATCAGATGTATTTGAACAATCATTCAATAAAGTCAGCGAAGGTGATATAATGGCTTCCCCTTGGTTAATCAATTTTATTTTTTTTTCCAAGTCTTCCAATCGTTTAGCTAATATTCTATACAGAATTAAAGTAATACTAAACATTTCAAAATATACCAAATCATAAATAACAATACTTATTGGTTTTTTTTTGATGATTAAGTGCTATAGTTTTATCTTGCAATGCTTCAAATAGTGTCTGACACAACTTTCTTAAATCTGCAAGAGTTGTGCTGTTTGAAAACAAAGCTTGAAGATTCCCAGTTTCCAAAATTTGTTGCACTAAATTAAATTAAAATTAAAATTTGTTGAAAAAAGTAATAGCAAACATCATGCAACTTACTCTGTTTACAAGTTATTACTTTACGGGCTATTGAGTTATTAGTGAACAATAAAGATGAATCTTCATTTATTTTTGATGTACTCTAAAATAATAACATTTAGTTGAAAAAATATGTTTTAATAATAAATCTAAACATGAACTAAAAATCTATTTATAAAAAAATTTAAAAAGAACCACCATACATTTGTTATTTGTTAGTAAAAGATGAATAATAAATAGAAAGACTACCTTTTTGTTGTAAACATAGTGGAAYTATATTGTAATGAAGCATAATAATAATTATTTATTTTTAGTATGAAATATAATATATTTTTAAGCCAATTTTACAAAATAAGATAAGTATAGTTAGTTATTAAAAAATAAATAGTACATCACAGTTAAAGATTATCTCTTTTGGTTGTCAAAATGTGGTTATTCCATTGTGAGTAATTTACAAAGAAAAACAGTTATATGCAAGGAAGAACTCTGAAGACTACAAATATATCAAATATTGACATGCCAGTTAGATAACAAATATGCACAAAAGCGAAACATTAAATCAAATCTAAAAAAAAAAATTAAGTTGTAAAAAGTAATTACTTTTTAATAAAAGGTATTTATATAACGACTGCTATTACAAAAATGAAGTTATGTTGTGTAAAAATTTGATGCTTGCCTGTTATTTTCTGTTTTTATTCCAGCATGAAATGTATTCAGTTTAAATAATTATGGACTCCACCATTTTTTAAAATATACATATCATATATATGAAAAACATAAAATACCTAGTGCAATATTTCAAAAAATTTAAATATGTCTTATTATAAAAAAATCTTATATTAAAATTTACTTCAAAATATTTGTTGTYTAAATTCATAGTAGTACCATACAATATGTACAATGTGTATCAAAAATTATAACTATTAGCTAAAAAAAACCAAAATTCCTATGAAATAATAAATAATATTATTGAAATATTGAAATAATATTATTGTGCATCAATTAATTTGTATTTTGTAACAATGATAGAAAAATAGCTTTTGAAAAAAAGTGCATGACAATATCAATGCAATATGATGCATAAAACAGTTAACTACATGAATAAATTATATATTTTAACAATCCATTATTAAATCATCAACTGTACAATATATACAGTCTACATTAAAAAATTGTATCGTAAGCTGTAAAGAACATAAACCTGGTATAATGAATTTGTTTTCTTTATCATTTCCTTTTCGGCGATCTCTAACTGCAATCTTTCATTTAAATACCTAAATATTATGCAATAAATTGATATTTTTAAATTTATTCTAAGTATATTAATTATCATTCATTTTTAAGTACATACTTGTTTTCTAATAATAAACTATCAATATCTAATACACATTGATTTTTATTAGCATTTAAAGAAGCTGCTAATTGATAATTTAACCGTCGTATTTTWCTTCGAAATCCATCTCGTTCAGTGATTAATTCTTGTTTATCATCCAGTAATAAACCAAAATCAAGCTTTAATTGCTGATACTAAAATTAACACAAAACAATTTTATAAAAGTATGTTTAATAATTTATTATTTACATTGTTTAAATCATTATATTTACATACTTTTGAATGTACGATTTCTAAATTTTTTACTAATTCTTCTTTACTATCAGAGCTTGTTAATATAGTATTTATACAATCCTTGACAAAACCACCAGTTCTTAAAACCTGTTAAAAATGTATTAAATATTTATTTTCCTAAAAAGAATTTTTGTCAAACATACGTTATACCAGTGTCAGCCTAGCCATGGCCGCTAGGCCGAGAACGCATCCAGGGCCCCTGGCCGTATTTGTGTCGAGCAGCCCCAATATTACTAAAAATATAATATTTCACTACTTATAAGCATTTTTTATCATTTTTATTTAATAWCATGTTTGGGGGCCCTTTAAGTACCAGGCTGACACTGTGTTATACTATTAATAAGTACTATTAGAAATACAAAAACTAATCAACTAATTACTGTCAGTTAAATCTTGTCCACATTTTAACTATATAATCACATATTTTCTAWAAGTAATCGTATAGTTAGATGGGAATGGTTAACTAATATTGATAATATGTGATTCTATTTTAGTTTAGTTGTTATTGCTTTGGCTAATAATTATTGCTAATTAGTAATTACTACAAATTATTTAACAATAATTAATATTAATCTATTAACTTATTAATATTCTTCATACATCCATGATATAATTTTATGTAMATTAAAAGTGGAAGAAGGTAATCCAGCAGGGGTTTTTCTATTTATGTTTTCTCATAAAGAAATTCTTCTCCAGATTCATATACACGTATATGAATAGTATATTATAATTATATATTTTTATATCTTCTACTAGGAAATCATCAAAATATGATACAAAATATAAAATATGTATTTCTAAGTTACTGATTTACATTTTAAGAACAGAAATATGGGCTAAAATACACTTTACCAACCCCCTTCACAATTTTTTTTTATTATTTTARAAGTTATAGCCTTCCAAAGATAGTAATTTTATGTTATTTTAAGCATGTTCTCAACACTTCTTTATAGCTGGCCAGAGTAGTAACCCAGTAAGCTTAGGTAGGTTTATTCATTCAATATTTTAGCCACGAGGGTGATTGATGGATGAGTCCACCTCCAACAAAAGGTCTGAAGGACCTTGAGTATGGTGACAGGGCCTGTAGGTAAAGTCAGGTACCCTTGGTTTTGGCCAACAAACCCACTTCATTTGTGTTATTTTAACTAACAAAGTTAAGTTTACTTATTACTTTATTAGGTTTTCCGTCTGCCCTACTGCCCGAAGAGATCTATTTTCCCCAGGTTTGCTATTTTAGCCCCAGGGGGTTTGGAGGCTGAGCCCCTATCCAACTTGAGGTCTTCCAAACCTCGAGTTTGGCGACCAGAACCAGCAGACGAAGGGAGCCACTATAATATACATAGGTTAAACTTAACAGGCAAGGTTATAATATACTCATTAGTCATTAGTCTGTTGTTTACTTGAACAGTTGAACATAATTCCAAAACAACTTAATACAGCATTATAGCTTATTTTGTAAAAATCAAAAAAAAAATCATATGTGAAGCATTAGTGTTGCGCGAGCCGCACATGCATATAAATRTAAAATCATAAACTTTGGAAGCATATAACTTCTAAAATAATAGTTTCCAATAAAAAACATTTGCACTTTTATTTTGAGCATAAAAAACAAGTAATTTAAAAACATAAGGGAATTGTTAGTGCATTTTTGCCCAAATATGTTATGATTTAAAATATTAAAACAGTAAAGTTGAAGTAATTTCTTAATTTTAATTAGGTAAGTTGAAACCAAATATCAAAATATTGAATAGATGCAATTTAAAAAGATATTAAACTCATACTCGGTAATATGATACTAAATGTCTATCTTGACTATCTTTATAAATTGTAAATTTAAAGTAGATAAGCCGGGAAATTTTACTATCTACTCTAAATTAAAGCTTTCAATTAACTTATTTGGTTATGATAAAAAAATTTAAATATCTTACTTGGTTGTCACCTTGAGCATCCTGTAATTTTTGACGCACATCCTCTGCTTCCAATCTCAGTATCTTATTTTCTTCTCTTAGTTGATTCACAAGTTTATCGTAATTTAATTGATAATTCTAAATGAATGCATAAAATAATTTTAGAAGAAAATCTATTTTTAAAAGTGAATTATATTACTCTATTGTATGTATTATGTAACATTTTATTTTCCAATATGATTTTCAAATGATCTCGTTCTATTCGACATTTCTCTAATTCTTCACTTAATACAGTGAGAGCTGCAGTTTTGCTATTTAATTTMCGTTCCAGGGCAGTACTCTATGAAATTTCAATAACAATTATTAGTTAACATACAATGATACAATGTATCAGGTATTGTAAATGCAATTTTGTAGCATTGTGCTTAAAAATATCATTAAGAAAATTATGTAAGTACATCATAATCTATGTAAAAATCACTTACATCCATTTTTGAAAAACAAATGATTGATTATTAAATAATGTATTGAATAAATGCGTTGATTTTTATTTATTTATTTATTTATTTTAACATATTATGTCACAATGTTGAAGATGTACAGGAATAATAATATTATCATTTGAAAAATGTAATTAATCAATAATGAAATAATATATTTTAATATACCTAGAAATTAAAGTTATAACCTATGTGTTTTTCATATGAAATAAGTATGTCAGTAAACTTGCACATCTGTCATAGTGTCATAATTGTTTAACAATTATTAACTACTGTAATTACAGAATACATTATACTTTTGTAGRACATTCAACATTGAGTTTGAATCTATAATGCTAAATTGGTTGTATGTACCTATTTGTTACTAATTGGTAATTATATCTATTCTATGATAACACAACATTTAGGCTGATAAAACAAATCTAGAAATAACTGATAACAGCAAGTCCTGGCAAGACAAGTCAAGTAGGGAACACGAATAATATATTAATATCACATATTATATATTTATATAAAATTATATAATCTGTGCTAATATTCTCCCAGAGTAGTGATAGTGAATCACTAAGGGAAGACAGTAAAGTTGGACCACTGAATATAATATATATATATATTCTGTGGTTAGACTTGGACTGCATGGACCAGTTGAAATTAATTTGTTATTTTTGAAATAATATATATAGGAATACTTGTTGTATATTAAATAATATTTTTTAGGGGCTATAGGGTCTACAAAAACATTTAATACAGGAGCCCGAAATTTGATGTGACACTGCATTAATTGTGGTATTCATCTACAGGTGCATTACTACATAGACAATTTAGACGCAGCAGATCCTTTGCTAGTTCAAAAATYAAATTAATTGACTTTTTATGAAACTTGATCCTTCAAAAATTATCTGTATTTAAGGGTTTTTTACAATAATTCAGTTTTTAAGAGTTATGAGCATTTTCAGCTTATACTATATAATATATATTCTTATATATTCTTTACTATTTATTCAATATTCTGTTACTTACTTCTTTAACTTGGAAATACACAATATCCATTATAAATTAGTTTTTGTATCCACGCRTTCCAATGTTAATAACAAAGAGTTTTACCAGTCATGTTTACAGGTGGCACGGAAAGGATGCAAATTTTTTGGTATTTGATGGGGTAGACAATTTTTGAGGATCAACAAAAAAATAAAAATAAAAAACATGTAATAATAGTAAAGCTAATAACATTGTAGTTGATGCTTAAACTATAAAAAAAAAAAATAAAAATAAAAATAAAAAAAATAAAAATATACAGTTGTAATTTTCTAAAGGTCGGCATATTTGAATTTGCTTCGGAGCAGTGACATATCTTAACACGGTACTGAGTATTACTTGAATACTTGATACATAAGTAGTTTGGCTAGGTACCATATAGTCAAAAATCATAATTACTAAAACAGCATCATTGCAATATCCAGCTTAGTATTCCAGTCTGMAATTTTCACTGAAAGAAATACATTTAAAGTTACTGAGAATTAGGATGTTAAGATATTTGTACAGGATTGGTTACTAATATTCTGTAAGTGTTTAAAAATGAAAATTATATGGTGAGAAAATCAAGAAATAAAAATTAAGCAAGTATGGAAAATAATATTTAAAATAATTCTAATCCAGAATTATCTTCAACTTTAAAGCATATTATATCAAAATCACAATACAACAAAATATTTAGTATTATACTATACAAGATATTGTACTTCAAATTGTAAATAAATAGAAAATTTTTAACTATAAAATAGAAAAATTGAAGTAAAAGAATTTTAAATTATTTATATTAGTCAAAAAAATTTTATTTGTTTTTACAGAAGTGTATTTAACATAATTATTAAAACAATTAAATTAAAATACATATATATATATATACACACACCACACACAGACAATAAATTACATTTATATAAGAAAAACAGTATAAGATATAACTTGTATGTTTTAACTATTTAGTAACGRTATTTTGTAGAGTAATCTTTAGGAGAAACAACTAAACCACGGCCTTTTCTGGCACCTCTATACACTGTTTCAACAATATCTATCATTTCTTGTTTGTCTTCAAGTGCCCAATTAATTTTATTGTTATTTCCAGTACCCAAATCAATCATAATATGCTTGTTACGGAAGAAAAACATAACTGTGCATGGATCGTACAATTCATACCTAAATAAATAATCAACAAATGTAATAAGAACATAATATTTAAGATAGAATTATAGATATCAATTAAATAATTTATTTAGTTACATTTTATTAAAATCTGGTACTTTGGTGATGTCTACTAAATATATGACGGCAAAGTTCTTCACTTTTTCTGCAATATTATACAAAACTTCATCCATTTTCATGCATGTAGGATCCCAATCGTGACCAAAACGAATAACCTGTAAATTATAATGAATTAAATATAACAAACATAATATGCTAGRTCATTATTTTAATATATATACGAGTATGGATTTAGTAACAATAAAAAACCATATARAAGACCAATAGAATTAAAAATTCTTTAAAAACTTAAAAAAAAATGTATTTTAAATAAATTATAAATTGTTGCAAAATAATGTATTATAGTGAAAGAGATTAAATAATTTAATAATAGTATTAAAATAATTGACTTTAATCCTCCTAAATTCGCATTGGATGATAAAAATTGTATTTAAGTTTTCAAATGCAAAACTTTGTCATCAAATCAGACAATAATTATTAATATGTTTATATTTATAACGGATGAACTAGACGCAACCTTATATAGCATTAAATTTTGAAATAACAAATTATAGTTATTATTGTCTTGATATTTGTTTACACATTAACCTATGCAATATTATATAAAGAATATTAAATCTTAGTTTTTTTTAGCATACCAGGTTTTTTTGAAATACCTACTATTTATGTTTTACTTGTACATTTTATAATATAATGTCATCTTCTATATCAATTAGTTCTTTAATAGCATGCTGATCGTTTCTTAAAGTGTAATTTTAGAAAATAAAATCCAAAATTACTTTTACAGTTTTATCTATATTAATTTAGTCTCTATTTGTGGGATTTTAACGATATTTTTTAGGTTTGTGATTATTAGTGAACCATAAGGGTCTAATTTAAGTATAACATTATTTATAATTATTTATAACATTATAACATATTTTGAAAATATTTACAACAAAAATTAGTAATAGTATTAAATTATATATTTATAGTAAAAAGTGATACATACATYGGTGAGCACAGACACTAAAAGCGGGTAGAACCTATATATTATCATATATCCCCTAGTTGAAAATTTTATAAGTGTAATACATCATATTGTTATCGTTTGAAAATTCTTTTCATTTTAATGTTTTGAAGCTCGTTTTGAAGTCTTTCTATATACACAATATTAAACTAAAGAGTGCACACCACATATTATAGTGAATTATTCAATTTTTATAAAATTTGCCTAAAAAATATCTAAAGTTGAATTGGTAATTTAGGTATATCTATGATAAATATAAGGGTAGTATGATTGAGAATACCCATTATCCAGTTATAGACCATGAAAAAAAAATTAGCGCAGGAAAGTCCTATGCATTCACCTATAAGTTCTGAAGTCATATAACAATAACAATAACAATTTACAAAAAATAAAACTTACTGAGTAGAATTTATCAATAGAAAATTTTTTTCAAGTTAATTATATTTTCAAGATAAACTTATCTAATAATATTTGTATTAAAAATAAAATATATATTTAACTTGCTCAATAAAATGAGATTTTATCTAAAGTTATAAAATGTACAAACCAGGGTTTATTTATATTCAATTTTAATTTTTTTAATTTAATTAAAAACAAATACTATAAGTATGTTAATTTTAGATACATTTGTACACTATTATTAATTTAAGAATTAAAAAGRCTTTAATCATATAGCAATAATGAGTAAAATCCAAAATTAGTTTGAAAATAGGTAAGCAAAATTTAGTACAATATTATGTTCCACAAATCACACAAAAACCTATGCTTTGAACTGTAGGAACTTGGAAACAAAACAAATGTTGTTAGAATTTATAGCTTCTTTAGAGATTAAGCTCTAATTAAATCCAAATATCATAATATCAGTAAAATATTCTACTTACAACCACTCTATCTTCCTCCGAGAGAATCGCCTGATCGACTTGCCAGCCGTTAAACAAATGCGCTAACATATAAGACATATTCAATGATTTATAGAAACTTTTCAGTGAGGTACTAAGGTCTTGTACTCTTGTTTCACAATAAAAGAAAAACAATAATATAAATATATTATTATACTGCTAGTGRGTTRTGGWAGTAAATAAAATTGTAAAAAGTAATAACTAATAAGTATACACTATAGTACTATACACTAAACACTTGTAATCTATATATTATTTTAGACTGTTAAACAATAACAAACACGATATAGTACGTAATATATTTAGTATACAACAATATTGATAAGAAAGGACATTTGGATACCCCCCCCCAACGAGATAACTACAGTCGATTTATCACAAAKAATCATAGACATGCAAGAAATAAAATATCAAATGAATCTCATGGAATAAACACTTAAATCGGGACCGAATAAAAAAGCAGATTCAAAATATAAAATTTCCATTTTTTAATTTTTTCAAATTTTATTTTCAAATTCAAATATTATTGCATAGTTATGAAACAATTGACAATTCGAAAATTTAAAAATATTATACYCACGAGATGTATCATAATTCAGTCCTCAGTCCCTGTTCCAATAACAAAAACGTTAATTATAATCTTTATCGCTTTTTCGACTTTCCCAATTATCTATTGGAAATCTCAGAATTCAGAAATCGGTTTGTAATCTAAGAATACTAATCATCATGAATATTCGTCAATAATTATAATATATTCATGGTAACGTCCATATTATACATAATTACCCATGTATTATATATATTAACTAATAATTAAATTAACCTCATCGGTATGCTTTGCAAGGGTTGGCTATAACGAATTWTTTTTTTAAATTTACGACTTAGGAGGACGCCACACCCGCATGTATTGTCTCCGTCTTACAAACGTAAGACAATAGCAAAATCTGTTTAGCGTGGGACAACTTTACTCCCTTTGTATTTATAGTAGAATTACCAAAATTCCACAACGCATAGGTAAGAACTTTATCTGTGTCATAGCGTCGTTATTTTTTTGATAACATATAAGGTAATTAAAGTTATAAGCTTAAGAAAATATTTGTATTAATTATTTTTTATTTTTTCATTAAATTACTTAAAATTATTGGTTTGTGCTATCACATGCGGGTGTGGCGTCCTCTTAAGATATACCTTAAATCGTGATTAAATTAGAAAAAAATAAATGGACAAGAGTTTATCTCTTACTCTTATGTAAAGAAATTAATGAGTCTGTTACTACGTTTATATTATGGCGTTAATACAGTGAACTTAAATTGGATTTAAATTCTTAAACTACATATAGTTCGAGCGTTTTAAGTTTTAACGACATCATATAAACGTGGTGTGTGTGTGTGATCTACCACGGACTAGATTTTATAATAGATTAGTACAAGCATGTAAAACTCAAAGTATCAAGTGTGCCAAATTTACTTAAAWGCTTGGTTGGCCATGTAGGCCGTACATACAACTTTAACAAAAAGAAATATTAAAAAAAATTTTTAATAGATATTTCAATTAGGTACATTTTGTCAGAAGATAAGACAATAAAATAATGTATACCAAATAAACCATCTAAGATAGTTGTGACAAGRCATTAATACCTATTTTTTTTCTTATTATATTATGTTTTTGTAAATTAATATTTGGTATCTGCGAGCCTCTTGTTTGACATGTCTGGTAGGTAACCGGTAACCTACTAGTATAACGGTCAACGGACTAAGAGATATCTTTGTTCGTGACTAGTGTCTAGTACAGTGATGTCAATTCAGTTTTAAATATGTGGAGGTTAAAGTACAAATCGTTATTGTTCGCAAGTTAATTTTTATTTTGTTACATGTGTAACGACTGTATAACGTGTAATGAAATTGTTCTGAAGTAGTCTTAGAATAATTTAGATTATTATGTTCTTAATTTGGAATATGGATTAATGGGTTATAGTCTATAGGTAGTCTGTAGTAGGTAATACTATAGATAGTGAATTGATCTATTACGGAATTCAGAAATAAAAAGGCGGGTAAGTCGTGGATGTC